ATCTGGAAATATATGGCAACAAAGTGGTGAGAAGCTCACTGTCCCATGATCCTGTCAAACTATGAACTGCAGAGGAGACTTAGTACTGAATGTGTAAGACATACACAAGTTTGACAATGAGTTCAGTGTTACAGAAATCCTTTAGATAATTAAATCTTTTAAAGGCCTTAAAATATTAAGAATAACAGTGAAGGAACATAATGGCATCACAGGATGCTAAAAATATCCTTCAAAGAGCATATTCCACAAAAGTACTTTTAACAACTGTTTATTCAGAACAATGCCCAAAATGAAAATTTTCAGACTACCAGTCAGAAAAACATGGTCCAGCTATGTTCTAGTACAACTATCTTCTGTTGCTAACCCCTGCCCTCCCTCCCCCATTTATAAAGAACATTGTAAAGTAAGCCTAAGATAACATTCTTCTTTCTATAGGAAGTTCATGTAATCATTTCAACTGCCTGAAATTCAACTGCCCAAAATGTAAGAACAGCATCCTGAAGATTAAATAAACAGCTCTAAATAGAAGCAACCTAATTTCTGCCAACTATTAACAATTTAAAAAAATTACAATTACATTTTTAAGATGACTCCTACTACTCTGTATCTCAAAACACAGTGCATTGAAATGCTTCCTAGTGACAGTGCTTTCTGTCAAAGTCCTAGAAGACTAAGACATTAACCACTACAGAGAAATTCTCTACAGAGCTGGAATTATGAGCAGAAAGGAACACATGTACATGGTTGAATCTGTGAGTTGTTCTTACAACCAAACATTAGTACAAAGTGTTTAAATTTTGGTTTTAGGCTGTATCTTACTAAATCAGCACCTCAATAAACAATCTGAGGTGGGATTTTTTTTAAGTTTTATTTTAAATTTTATCCCTAAAATTTTTAAAAAACTAATTAACACTATGTTATAAATTACTTACAATATTTTTATATTAGTGCTTTTAAAAATGCACTCTCAAACAAAGTAATACTGAAACTCTCCTGCCATAGTACATAAAAAATATGATCATTACTTGAATACAGCAATAAAAATTATTTAAGTGCAGTATTTACTGTGCTTTAGTAACTGTGATGTAAATAATAATGTTTTTCCTAAATAATTAATTAATTGCATTAGCTACTTCTACTTCCAAGAATTTTGCTTATAGAAAAGAAATTCAAGGCAGCAAATGATAAAAGTATGTCTCCACTTGTGCAACTGTTAGCTGTACTCCAAGTCACAGGCTGAAATACAGCCAACATGTGTGACAGTTCTACAAAACAGATATAAAGACCTCTAAGGGAAACACAGATGATGCCAGAGTCCATGAGCTCACTTAACAGCATTCAACTGGAATGTAAAACTTAAAGACTACTACGCTCTGTACTCCTTATGGTACCAGAGTCATGGGGAAAAAAAATAAAATACAAAAATCCTCAACTACTGATGTAGCATCAGCTTCCTCCAAGACTAGAAGCACAATAATTCTGGTAAGATCCTGGCCCTCACAAGGAATGTAGTAGCTAAAAAAGTTCACAGCTATATACCATGAAGTCCTAGCTGGATTCACAAAGCTGCCAGCATCCAAAAGCCTCCATGACAACTCATCAACCTCCTCTGTGAAAACCTAAGGCTTCACATTCTGGGTCTATTGCATCACTTTTTTCTGCAGGGTTATTTTTCAGTTGGATCAGTTCCCCACACAGCTGCATGTTCAGCTGTGCCAGCACAATACAAAAAGCAGCAACAGGCAGATGGGGGCTGCCACTGAAGACACACCCACGGGACAACAGGTTTGGAAACCTCTTGACAGTTAAACAACTGAGCTCTTAAACAAGCTGCCTCTTTAAAAAAGGAAGACATCAAATTACAGTTAAGAAAATTCTACTAAGGAAAAAGAGCAAATGTTCTCATTTTGGGAAATCATTAAACCAAATTCCGACCAGTAATGATCAAGATCACAAAAGCTGGGCACATAAAACACCCTGAACATACTTGCTAAGCTGGATCAATGTGCCTTGGTTGTAAGTGCCTGAATACAAGTCAGTGGCTCACAGTATTCAAAATCTGCAAAAAGGCTGGTAACTTGCCTAGGATCTTCTCCTAACAGTAGCAGAGTACAATTAACAAGACAGCTCAGTTTCATGGCTGCAGAGCAAACCCTTTAGCTAACAATAGCAATTCAAACATACTGCATTTTGGGAAAACTACAAGCTGCAGATGAGCTTTGGATATTTAAAGGCTAGGAAAAAACACCGTGATATGCCAGTCTAACCTCAGATATAAAAAAACCCCAAACTATCACTTTTGCCTTATTAAAGAAAGACATACCTTTCAACATTATAACAAAGGTATGCATATTTATTAAAGATATTTGATTAAATAAATAGGCTTTGAAGAAAAAAAAAGTTGTGCCACATTAGTCATGCTGCTATCCTGTGGTATTTTATTAATTTCATCCACTTTATTAAACACATCTAACTTCTCCACAACTTCATCCAAGACTAACTTCAGACTAGACAGATTTAGAGTTCTGAAAATCATCCTGCTTCAGCACTCCACATTTCCAGAACTTCAGGACTTAAAAACTGGATACATTAGCTGAGATCAAAAACATTTAAGAGCTCCCTTTACTTTTCAGTTCCCAAGCATTTAAAATTTAACCATAATTGTCATTAGAATGTATGATAATTTTAAGTAACAATTTTCAGAATTAATAACATTTATTTTTACTTTTAAATTATTATGCAATGCAACAGCATTCTACTTCTTTCAAGTAACAGTAGTAAAATTATTACAGAACACATGCCTTTCTGCATTGTGCATAATACTTTCACAGTCTTTAGTACTGCAGTTCAACAACTGTTGTGAACAAGAACGTGTCCCTCACTTAATAAAAAAAAAACAACCCTTCAACTTCCTTTTCCTGTCAATTAAAAATCCTCCAGTTTTATTTCCACTACTACCCCATTTCTTTGAAAATACAGATACACCTTTTTTTTTTTTTAAATGCTTCATTATTAATAAAGTTTTTCCACTTCTTGAGACTTCTTTCATGACTGAGATGTGATTTTAAACAGGCAACTAAGAAAATTCTAAGTATTTTAATTCAGATTTTTAATGCCTAAACATTTCTTCCCACACAGTTCTGCTCATGCTTGTCGACAGTTCTGGAGAGCTGGAATTTTCAGCCATCATTTGTATTTTTTTATGCTTGCTCTTAAAACCATATACACAGAACAAAGCTGACTCTTTATCAGTGAACCTCAGCTCTAACCCATAGCAATGTCCAGTCCTATCACTGTTCACTGTTACCATCTCAATAGGAGAGTTGAGACAGTCCAGCCCACAGTCCTGCACTATCTTTGCTATGTAAAATACATCCAATAAGCTATACTGTACTCATATCAGACCAATTTCTATTAGGCTATTCGGAAACAACAGTGTTAAGTTGTCTGCAGAGGGGGTGTTCGAATTTTCTTTAAAAAAAATCAAATAAAATTGTAGCATAAGATCATTCTTCAGGAAATTCTACAGCCAGAATATTGTCATGTTCCTTTAGATTTTCCCTTGTCTCTCAAATTGGAAACACCTATGGTTACATGACATCTGTTGGATGGGATGTAGGTACAAGTTGTGCATACTAAGGTCACTAAGCTCCCCATATACTCAACAGAGACAGATGCCTTGATCACTCAAAGCCTTCAGAATTTACTCACTGAATTTAGGCAACTGCAAAGTCCTCTGTAGCAGTATCAAATCTAAACATTTGTCACCTAAAAAATGAAAGTGAGCTAGGCTTCCAGGAACCCTAATTCACATTGTTCTACGTTAGACACAGCGAACAAATGGACACATATACACATTATTACGAAATGGTTCACAGCTAGCCTGAATCACTAAGCAGTGATTTTGAATTACTATCAGTTATAATTTATTTTCCTATTTCTACATCCCAAGGTAATTGTAAAGCAGTAATGCTGTGTGTTTGAAAAAGAGGTGAAGTCGGAATAAACATTTTCGTGGTGAAGGTGCTGTTTGTTTCGTTATATTGAGGCAAACAGTACTGAATTAATATTAAAACTAAAAAGCAGTAACAATGAAAAAAAGACATCCCATGAAAAAATTACACATTCTGACCTGTTCTAATTAGCTAGGTAGAGCAAGATCACCGCTGTCTCCCACAATCACTGGCAGGGAGGCAGCTATCAGACTCTAGACTTGACACCCAGTGTGACATGAAGTGGAAACAGGACAAGCCAAAGATCTAGCCCTATGTCATGGTCAGGAACACAGCAAGGAATCAACACTACCAAAAAAGCACTCTACCAACCCACAACAAACAAAGCACAAGTATATAAAAGGTTCTATGTTCACTGGCTGCAATGATGTCAAAAAACATTTAAGCCATCATGAAGCAGTGACCTAACCCCTCCCCAGCAACTCACATCCATTCCCCCAAAACCTCTATATGCATTCTTCTACTCAGTATTTAAAACAGAATTCGAAAGACACTTTAAGTGCATATCTCTGCTTTTGAATTAACACTTTCAGCCTAGCCTTACCTGTTGAGATTGGACACACATGAGAGCACTACAACAGGCTCTTGTCCTATGCACCTGTGTCTCCCATCTCTCACAAGAAACCTCTAGAGGCTTGGGTTCCACTCTTTGTACAAATGTAATGATGAACCAGAAGACTGGAGTAGGCAGTGTGGTACTACTCTATAAACTAAATACATCTGGTATTAATACCGGAACCAATAGTGTTTTGGTTTGGGCTTTTTTGTTTTGTTTTAATTGAAAAACAAGGAGAATGAGAAGTTAAAATACAACTGTTTTCATGAAGACATCAGCCTTGTGGTTTAGTGGGGTTTTTTTACAGGATTTGAAATATAGCACAAACCAAGAGAACCATGAGTTACCCAAATGTTTTTCATTCTATTGTGTCACCTACACCAAATTACAATCCCCCAACGACATTTATCAGAAATAGTGAAAAACCTTACCTTTTGGATAATCTTCCAATAAGAGGTTGAAGTGACCTAACTGACAAAAGAAATCAGACTCGACCTTTCCTTCAGCTTTCAAAATTAGCGATTCATAGCAGCGAACAGCCTGGGAAAAAGAAATACAGGGTTTTCAAAATTCTGTATTTAACTAAAGCAAGCAATACATTTTCTGTGCACTTTTTGAGAAATAACAAAGATTCTTATTACTCTGAAAGACAAGAAGTCTTCCAACACTCTCAACTGTAGTTAGCACTACTTTTCGAAGAAGAAATGTAATGTTTGACATGGAACAGATTTGGCAGCTCACTGATTCTAATGCAAATTGACAGCAAATGAACAAAAGTTTTCTTTGGTTTATCTGTGGACTCCAGAAACATTTGATTTCCCAAACACAGAACAAACCTCTAACATACATGACAATTTTTAACTTAAAAGAAAATAAAAATAAATTGAATGCAAAAAGATTAATTTTATTTATTCCTTCTAATCTGCAAGAAACCTCTATGATTTTATTTTCATTCTGTGTTTGTTTTCTAAAGGATTCATTGTACCAGTTGTTTCAGTACTTTTTGCTAAACTGAAGAATATACTACCTAAACATGCTTGCTTAGGCAATTTATTTACTTTAGCATATTTTTCTCAACATCTGATTCTTTTCACATACCTCTATCATGCCATAAAAATGCAGTTCACTACCTTCTACTTACTACACAGATACCGAAGACCAAGTAAAGATCAAGTTAGAAACAATCCTATTAGAAAAGACTTTTACTTTGACAGAAGTTGCCCTAGAAGTTTTTAAGCAGCACACACAACCAAGGTATGTTCTGTGCTGCAAACACATATTTTTAGCAAACTGAACTGATACCTTCTATTCACCGTAACGAGCATGGTCTTGATCCTTGTTGTATTTTTACCTCATGACCCTAATCACACTTTGGAAAGGTATTAATAAATGAATGAACCTGTTTCCCTGTTTTTGAACTTCCAGTTTCATGGTTTTTAACATACTAGCCATTAAAATGAAGTAGCTGAATAAACTTAAATGGGAAGGAAGGTCCTTTGCACCAGCAGGAGACAACCACTCTCTAAAGCTTGACAGACTTCCAACAAATTCTAATTCCATCTGGTTAACCCTTAAGTTTTACCAACTCATGGTTTGACAGTGTTTCCCATTTGGTCGCAAATAGGAACTTCCTGATTTTAATATATTCCAGTAATCAGATCTTTAATACTTTGACTGAAGTGTCAAGGTTTTTTAAGTCATTTTATTAAAACTGAAAACTCAAAAGGGGAAAAAAGATCTGTCTACCCTGCAATACTTAAGTCCAAATACTAAATCAGTACTCTTGCTCGTATTTGTGATTTACTTCTGTGTACACTTGTATTAATCATCAAAATGATAAATGCCAACAATAAAATTAGGAAAAGTGCAGAAACAGTTAAAAAAAAGACCTGTGAAGAATCTAAATTACTGATCAAATCTGTATATTAATTTGCCATTTTTACCTTGCTATGCTAGTTTTAAAATTATTTTCTTAAGTGGTGAGCCATAGTAAGAAAGGCCTTGCAGTACTCAAAAGACAGAGAGCCTTCTACATGACCAGATGAGCGGTTCTCAGTTTGTAACCCAAACTTAAGATGTATTGCATCAGCTTCCATCTACTTCCAAGTTCAGAACACTCTTATTTTATGGCTGTTTTCAGAAATACAATTTTAATGGGTAAAAATAAAGCTATGCTTCTGCAAACCTTCTACAATATAACAAACAACCATATTAAATCTATTAGATGTATGTATGGTTTTAAAATTATTTAATAAAATCACTTAAATTATGTATTTCAAACTGTATCTATTTGGCCACATTCAGAAGACACTCAACTGAGATGAGTATTTGTCTCTACATCAAATAATTGCCGTAGAATTGTTAATTCATTCTCTGAGGTTTTGCCTTAGCAAACTGTACTAGAAGGACTGGAATTCTGTCAACAGTTAATCTAAGCTACTACTCTTAATTTTATTCCCACCACTGTGAATACTTCTTGGAGTTAGCCAACTCTCAATCTAAAGAATATGATCCCTGGAAGCAGAAGCAAAGCACACAAGTCCAAGCAAGTTTCTTATAATTACTACATACGTGTGAACTAATTTGCCACATTCAAGTTCATCTGTTAAACCTATTCCAATCTGCAAATGTTTTCATGCAGAATGTTTGGTTTCATGCCTTGCTTCCTCTCCCCACTTTTTGGTCTCATCTCTGGATTTGTACAAATTGTAACACAATTATTGCTGGTGCCCCTAAAAATACTGTCACAGATTAATTTGCAGATAGGTTTTTCCATTTTCTGATGATACGCAATACCAGCTGCAGCTACTGAAGAGAACATTCACACAATGACATTTTCTTAAATTAGTATTTTGCCTTTTACAATTCAGTCACTATTCAGAGCATATACAAATTGCTACCACAGCAGGTAACTTACAGAAACTGTTTGACAGGAGGTTAGCGTAGTTCATTTATTTAATTAGATAGCTACAGGCATTTAAAGGGAACTTGATTTTAAGAACAAATCTACCAGGATTTTTCTATACAGGATGTATCTGAAGCACTACATATAGTATGGATACAAAAAGTGCCCAAGTCTTTCACACAACTCAAATCAGTTCTCCACAGAGCAGATTTTCCCTTTGCCTTAAAATACTCTTTGAAGATCCTGTTAACGCCACCTTACTTACTTAGCAGCACAAGGCAAGGGCACAGGACATCAGAGCTGCAAAGCAGAACTTCCCCTTTTAGTAACAGTTAACTGTAAGTTAACTGTAACTCTAAGAACAATTCAACTACACCCTCTCAGTTTTTATCTAACTTCTTTGTTACATTCTAAGGAAAATGTGTATTTATGCAAATAAATTGTGTCACACCAATTTTTTTAGTTCTTGCACATTCTAGCAAAACAAAATAGAAACCAAGAGAAGTATTTTGTGCCACAGCAGGAACAACAAAGTCAACCTCCAGGTCTCTGGAGAATAAGCAGACAGGTCAGTATGTGGCTGTTACTCTTCCTAGCATCCAGAGCAGATTCATCTAGACAAACTGATTTATTCAACTTTGGGAATGGTAACGAAACTTTCTTCCCCGTCACACCCCTCCACAAACATCTTTAGAAAAGAACAAGTATTTTTCTGCATAGATAAGAATTTGTCTCTTAGCTGAATGAATGAATTCAAAGTGTTTTGAAGAGGGAGGTAACAACTACACTTATATGGCTTCTTTGAAGGAATAATCAAAAGATCTCATTTCATTGGATCTGTAATTGCAAAGGCTATCTATGGCATCACCTGTGCAACCAATTCAAATCATCCTGAGACATTAATAATTCTAAGGAAGTTAAATACCCCTCTGGTTTTTAAGTATTGTTATTTCACTACATTCTATGGACTTTTAAGTGCACTCAATGGAGCAAGCCTTGAAAATTGCTAGTATTGACAAATTAACAAGAAATAGAAAGACCCTGAAAAGAAAAGGAAGATTGCTACACATTTTACACTTTCCTCCCTTCGTTCAAGGCTGCATGAAGATAAAAGGGAAACCTGAAGAATGGAGGAACTTGGCAAAATAAATCACCTGCAGCTGCTTTACACTGCCAATGAGAGTAGAATCAGGAAATATACAGAAACGGCTGCAGGAAAAGAAGCTGGTTTATATGATTAAAAAAATACTCGTTTGACACGTGCTTGATTAAAAGCAAACTGAAGCAATGCATTATTGCAAACACTTCTGACATGAGAGTTAAAATCTCCCTCTTATGACATCATAGTTTATGACTGGGTGCATTCTGATTTCACAAATTCAACCACCAATTCTTAGGACATGTTTAAATACAACACAGGAGAGAACAAAAAGGTTTAGTGCATTTGTCAACTTGGAAAATGCTAGCAGTGCATTCATATGTGTTTACAAAATGAAAATATAATTCCATTATCAACTTCAAAATTTACTATCAAATCCCTGTATGTTCACTACTTATTATTCCAAAAGGAAAGGAACTGAAATATCCCTTCTCCCTGTTGTCAGAAGAACTTGCCTCCCCAGCCCCTATCCCTCAGAAGAACCAAACCAAACAAAAACAATCCCAGGAAGCAAATGCCAGTTTTGGCTACTATTAACATGATGTCTTTTCACAAAAGAAAGACCCTACAGTCACAAATAAACTATAGCAAAAAAAAAACCCACCCCATCAATCCCAAAGATAAAACCAGAATTCTAAATATTGTATACAGAAGTCACTGAGAAATATTACAGCTCTAGTTCATAAAGAAGAAGGAATGGCACTATTATTTCTGCTTCAACCATTATGAAGAAAAACAACTTCACCATTGTCAATAGTTGCAATTATGTGTATTTTACAGCACAAATTCAAATTACTGTCAAACAACTGTACTAAAAAGAAAAAAAAAAAAAAATCGATATAGCTTTTTTGACTAGTTTCCAAAGAAGATGATGTAATCATGTCATTTGTTGTCAGAAGCATGGGTGACTATGATGAAAGTACTGAGACTATATGGCCAAACATGACAAAATGCTAATTATTAATTCTTTAATATAATAACAATATGAAAAGGAAGACTACACTGAGTCAGCGAATGTTTACTTAAAAAATAGAAAAAATACTGACAACTAAAGAAAACTAAAAAAGTAGCAATATAAATTGTACAGTAAAAGAAACTTGATTTTACCGGGTAATAAATTAACTATTCAATAAAAAGATTTTTTAATGCAGACAACATACTGTAAAATTACAAATTAAAAGCCTCAAGACATTCCTAGAATATTAAAATTCACAATAGAGAACACTATTGTATATGTAGATAAGCCTTCCATTGACGGCAGGGGTGAGACAAGCAAAGTTCCTGCTTCTTATTTATTTTTTCTCTAGAAAGCATTAACCTGATAGGATGGGCTTTGTGAGAAGGTAATAACAACTGGAATAATGACAAAAATTCCATCTGAAAAAAACTGAAGAGAGCCATATCAGCAGACTCTTCACAAATGAAATACATATTACACTAATGACTAGAAATGAAATATTAATTAGCTCTTAA